ATGACTGCATGTCACGCTTATGATGCACTCGCGGCCGTTTCGCCAGCTTCACATAAGCCAAATTTGGGATTATGTGACGCGAACGGCGTTTGACGACGTTAAATGCCACGTCCGAACATGATAATCATAACTTGCGTGCCATGTAAATCATGACTACATGCCACGTTCATTGTGTGCTTGCGGCCGTTTCGCTAGCTTTACATATACCAAATCTGGTCTTACGTGACTTCAATAAATGACGAAAATACATGACTGGTGCAATTATAATGATCATGACATGGAAGTCATGTACGGTAATATTTACGTCCGCCTGGTAAGATTGTGCTGATTTTAAAGTGGCATATCAACCTTCCTCATACGTGCTTCGCATATCATCGATTCCCATGGGATCTGTCAATTTTTTTTTTTAACTGAGCAAGTGTGCTCTCACGGTCAAGGCCTATTAGCATAATTATAAGCTGATAGGTTTTCTAGAAGTCTGCAAAGTGGCCGGGTGCAGACACTCGAGCACCAACAATCCGGCTGCACGGTGAACGGTTTCTAACGCACTGCTTGCAGCAAGGTAATTGCTGAAGATCAACAACAGGACACCGGGACAAAAAAAGTTTTATAACTATCTCCATATACTGCATCCACCAAGTGTATTCAACACGCGTCAGAGACAAAAAAAAAGTGCAGGAATAATAAAAAAAGAGTTATTCGCGGTGTTCTTAAAAATGTACTGGGTAGCTTTAAAAACATTTTGCGTAACTGTTTACACGATAGTAGGACCAATAGTATACTCTTATTGCGTTTGAACAAGTGAACTGGCCATCTACGCATTTTTTTTTCTTCAACGAACTGTGCTCATTTTAGTTGATTTCTCAACTTGAACATTGTGTTAATTGTGCTAAAACGAAGACAACGCACTCAAATTTCGCGGGAAAAAAAATTGTCGCCCACGCGAACTGTCGTCTTTGAATTGCGCCACTTTCATGTATACAAGACACAGGCGCCTGCGACACCGCGCCGCAAGAAGGGAAATGGTCGGGCCTGCTTCTATATTTCGGTTGCATTACGTATGTATATTTTTTTTCTACACAACGCATAGCTCGAATTAGCGATTATTTGCGGGCGTTGGCATAGGGTGGCACTGCATGCGCATGAACCCCCCCCCCCTCTCCCCACACACGCACCCCAGGTACACCGCTGCCAAGAGTCTCAAGAGATCAGGGCGTTTTGCCACGTCCTTGTCAGCTTGTCATGTCTGGCAGTGCCAACAGCCTCGTGATTAGTGTACAGGTATAACACATATCCGCGCGCGCGCTGCAGAGGCGTGCGTGAAAGAATACGTCGCGCGTGTACAGTTTCCAGACAACTCACCTCTGGAGCCTAACCACCATATGTTTATGAGAGACGCTGTAGTGGAGAGCTGCGGAAATTTCGACCACATACGTGAATTGTCTGCGTGCACACGGTGCGTCCGCTTTCAGGGCGAAGGGGTCGTGTTGCCGTGATCAGTACGAAACGGAACACTGAAAGTGTCCTCTAAAGGGTCGTAGCAGCTAACGCAGTTGGCTTGCAAGCGCGGAAGTGTTCATGAAACAGAGTACTCACGTGGAGAGGCATGAAAAGGTATCTCTGGCGATCGACATGCGTGTACATTCAGATCAGCGTATTCGTTGAATACACGTGCACTCCGTACACCTCCTCACAGTTTTTACGATAGTACGCGTGCATTTACTTGAACACTATAAAGTATACGTGCTACTCGTGCGTACGATATATATACTGCATTATTGAGGACAAAGTTCTACATGGATAGGGGCCCCATGGCGACTGCGCAAGTTCCTTACAGAACTTTTGCAGTCGCCAGGACAGCGTAAGTTCTGGCGTTTTTTGTATAGAACTGCATAAGTTACTATACAGAGCTTACGTCCGTTCCTGTATAGCACAGTTACAGAACTTTGTGCGAAAGAAGCTGCTTTGTTTTCAGTATTCTATCATTGGCAGGAAGAATTAGGCGAATTTCTTCCGTTCTGTTAATACATAAACCTTGTAATTGAGTGAATGCAAAAACTATCAGAGACTGAGAAACTTTGATTAGGACTACGTTATCAGCTGATATGCGAATATTCAGTTTCCTCGAGAATCTTGCTGATCTGGCACTGTCATTCCCGAGAGTGCCAGTCGTATGCGGAAAAGTGAGAAATCGTAAAGAGGTCGAATGTACGTCAGAAGTCTAAGTAAAACAGGACATACCGAATAGGGCGAAGGAGTATCGAAACAAGAAAGGGGGTGAGGTTGTCTAGAATGCAATGGCACCGGGCTGGTAAGAGCATACATAGCGCCCGAAAAAAAAAATTATACGCTGAATGGACGAGCTGCTATCTCTTATGAAAAAAAAAAAACGGCACATGTTTCGGATTTGTATTGTTGCGCTGTATATTTTCATAACGGTGCACCCACGGGGAAGTTGCCATCCTAGAAGCTAATTTGTAGCACGTAGCTTTAAAACAATTCGTTAACCACAGAATTTCCAAAAAACGCCGCTCTCTGAATTCAGCTCCACCGAGATTCTACTCCATTGCCTAAGTGCGTCGGCGACATGGTGACCTTTACGGGCCATTGACATTTAACCGACAGGTTGTCGCCCTATTCGGGAAGATATCCGAAGGACGAGAATCTCATCGGCCGATCAGTCACCGAAAATCCTTGATCAACATTGTCACGTGGTCGATAACATCATTACGATTTCGCCTCATCCGTTGCGGTTGCTACACGGTGCACGATGCGGGGTGCATACGGAGGTCATACGTTTGGGCCTCGCGGTTAGCGGCGTCCCGCCGCAGCAGAGATATATGGGGGCCCAGTGAAAGGACGACGGAGGCAGTAAACAGGTCTGACGTCACTCGGAAGCTGTGCCAGACACGAGTTCCCGCTATGGCTCCTTTCTTGTTTCTTCTGTTGTGCTTTAGGGACGACAGACACAATAGGTTTTGGCAGATGTTACGGAAGAACCGAGGTGACCCGGAGGGATAGTAAATTGCGATTCGCCCTTTGTCCAACTATTCGTTATCGCTCTTGGTACGCTTCCATCGGAAGTTAACGAAACAAAAACAAGTCCGTTAGCCGAGCATCTCATTGTTTCACGAGAATGCCAGGATATTGGCGTCTCTTCAAGTCAAACATGCCTTGATCACCTGAGAAAGCAGTGGCATTTGGAAACGGTATGGTGCAAGTACTTTAAGAAGTAATGAAAATGAAGGGAACTTGGAATCATTCCGTTTGTTTGTTCAGGATATTGCTGATCACGTGCTTCTTGTCACGTGCACTTTTGTCGGACAGTCGGCAAGCATACTCAAGTTAAACGCATTACCTGCATGGTAATTTGGAGAAGCTGAGTTACAAAAAAAAAAAAACTATTACATGCCCAGTTTCGTTACCAGGGACCCTAAAAAAACGCAACCATGTGTCCTATGAAAACAAAAAAAAACGCCAGGCCTGTGCAGAAGGCGCACAGTCACAGCAAAAGCTAGAAGAGCGTCCTTTCAGAGCCTTTTCAAAACACTCATTGGTTAACTACTGCAAGCACACTTGCTTGATACCCACTAGGACATTAACCGATATATGCCGAGTGTACTACATGTAGGACGCTGAAACTTTTCAGTGTAACTCGAACGTTTTTCCTGTAAAAAAAGGCAGCGGCACCTAAGGTGTGTCTGCGATGCCCTGTTCTCGTCACGTACAAGTCTAGGTGATCGCTCGGCTACAAATAGGCACGTAGTTGCAGTCACAAAATGGCTATTTCGCATGCTTGTAGCCAAGTGCCATACCGAGAAAAAAATATATATAAGTAAAATACAGTCAAACTGTTCTACGGTGCTCCTAATATTTTGTCGATTGTTTGTCAGTTATTGGGTGTGCAGTAACTTTGGTATGAAAGTGATAGGCGCTAATATTTTTGTTCGCGGTGTATCAAATATTGGTGTCCGACATGTAGGACGGCCCCTAAACCATTGTTGGAAAGAGTTTTTTTTTTTAAATTAAAGCCTTAATATGTTTTCTGAGGTCGTAGAAGCAATCGTTTTGGTGAAATAAATTAGTTTGTTAATTTTTCCTAAGTTTGGGCATACATGGGTTAATAGTAAAATTTTTGGGTAGAAGGCCGGCATTCGCTATGCTGTTTTTCGCCATTTTTCTGAGAAGCGTCGCAACAGCTAAACACTTGCAAGGAATTTTGCGCCAATTTTTCATGCAGTGGCTGACGACGATGAGGAAGTTATGTCTGAAGTGGGTATGCGCCACAGTTATTAGGGAACAAGAACCAACTTTTGTAATGGATTGGAGCATCGGACGACCCACTCGTTACGCTATTAGCATTGCGCGACGACTGGGTGTTCTTTTGCTGTGTTAAAACGCTTTATAAGTCGCATTAACGCGATTGCTTTCCCGACATCAAGCCTGCTAAGGCAAGTTTGCCATCAAGTCCCAAGCACCGGTGAGGCTCAGCGGTAGAAAACTGTGCTGGCACCCAGCGGACTCTGGTTCGAGTCCCACCGTGCTATTAGTGCTAGGTCGTGCCTGCCTAAAGAAAGTTTAATATGTTATTAGCACCGGCGTAACTCAGTGGTAGAATATTGAACTGGCACGCAACGGACCCGGGCTCAAGCCCCACTGTGTCATTGGTGAAGTTTTTTTTTTTTTCTAATTTCGCGCGATGTTGTTACAGACACTGGCGGCGGCGGCGGACAACTGCGCGTGACCCGAGTTGTGACGTTGTGATCTCATAACAGCTTTTGCTGTAAAATGCCATGCCCTGCTTGCCTTCATCCTGTAGAGCTGGCGTTCACCAACACTTGGTCAGAATAATATAAAATTCCATATTCTCGGTTGTTGTATACTAGATCGATGTCAGCGTAAAATGTCGCTGCATCTGCGCGTCACGGCGCTCGCCGTAACAACCAGTGAAGAGAAAAAATATAATCTGCGCGCGCGTACATCTGAGGCAGTCGTCTTACCTCGCCGCTTTCTGTAGCCTGTCAGACGCAGCAGGCCGTTCGCGTTGCTCTGCAACCGGCCTTGCATGAGTTTCGCCTTGGAAGGTCGCCTGCCGATGCAGCCGCTGTAGCGCGGCGCCACTACCGCGTCGAAGCTGGTGTGTCGACACACCACGCACGGTACGGAACCAGCGCTGATCTTGCGCGTGCGACTCGATCCCATCTGCATCTCTGCAATCTCCTCGAGGACGACCAAACGTCACTTGAATCTAGAACGTCTTCACGCGAACGTCATGTTTCCAAACTTCGAGGCAACCGACAGCGATCCCAACAACGCGCAACAACCTTTGCCACTGGGACGGTCTCACTCGATTTTCCTTTGACGAGGCTGCTTCTGATATCCGCGGTTCCTCAACCTGAAACAGCGTGTGATGTCTTGCGGCGTCACATAAAACGACGTAGAAGGAGCTCTAAGCCGCCACTGAGGTGACGATAGTGGCCCCCGAATTCGATGCTTGTACACGAAGCACCGATAATCCTCGTTGTCCCTCCCGCACCGTACCAGTTGAAGGTGTGCTCTCCACACACCGCGGCAGCTTCTGTGCAGTTCACCGATCGGCTGAAACGCCACCGGATTTCCCTGACAATCTCAGCCGCGCTGCAACATTGTGTGACGTCCGTTGTGATAGGAAATCGGGCCTCTTTCTGTCTTGCGTCGCATCCGACGGTGGCAGGGGGACGTCCGCGCATGCTTGTTCTGGGGAGAGCGGAAGATGCGGTCGGGGCAATTATTATCGATTGTTTCTGGGCTCGCATTTGGCTGGAGATAAGAGGTAATCTGCTCCCGACACCATTTTTTTTTTCTGTGCGGGAAGCACACACAAACGGAGGAGGCTTTGTTCTTATCGATGCGATGCGATAAACAACGTGTTGATAGAGAAAATGGCAACCGCACTTCGCCAACAACTTTACCAGCAACGACCTCCCTTCTACAATAATCAAGTACATGTTAACAATTCATACACCGGAGTGTTCATGAACAGGAACGGCGTAGTTCACATAATGGAGTAGTATGCATAAAGAAAATGCACGTCAATGAATATGTCCCTTGAGTGGTCTTTGCGCACCGATGAAATAATTGACCACTTACGAAGGTCGTTTCACATAACGAGATCCCCAATTAGCAGTCAGACGCCATTAGTGCTTTAAAGAATACCCGTATGTCGACAGTTTCTACGTGTAGCCATATCGCATGTTCCAGAGTCTCGTTTCGATTGGGCGGCTGTTGGAAGGGCGACCGCCAGGACGAGCATGCTGCTCCACAACTCCTCGGCTGCTATGGCCAAATGACCCATGTATGAGAAGCCAAAATTACGAATCTTCTCGCAGATTTGACATCTAGACCGAGTGTGTCTGGGTGAAGACAAGGCCTGTGGACGTCGGCCTTTTTTTTTTCCAAAAACACATCTTGAAATTTGACGTTATACATAAGGCCTGGTCTACCGTGGTAGTCAGCTGTGCAAAAAAAAAAAAAAAACACAACATGGCCAAGGGCTCTCATTAGAAGGCAGGTATGTCCTTAACTGATAAATGGCTTGATACTCGCCCAAACTTGTAATCTTTCTACGACTGTATTGTTTTAGCGTTGTCAAGCAACTACTGGGGCTTGTTTAGACCAGCCGCGGCAGCCCTGGATAAAATGCTGCATTTAGAAGAGTCGCTACATACAGTGCATGCAGCCGTGGCCGAAAACAGCTTTTACGAAGCAGTGCAATTAAATGAGTGGTTTTGTAACCACAATGCCACCGCCTCACGCAAATTCGCGAATAAAGCGACCAACTTATACGACGGGGCAGCGTGACCAATGACAGTGAGGCCCGGTTAAGTGGATTATCATAATCACCGTCGTTTAATACCTTGAAAAAAATCGCCTTAAAGCTGATTCGTCTTAGCATTATTTCCTCCGCATTCATCGTACACTTTGTTTCTATTCTACTTGAAGGCGAAAGTAATAAAAAACCGGGGCCTCCGTGCATTTCGAATACTTGAGCAGACCTGTCGATGTAACTCACAGGTAACCCTGGAAAGAAAAGCGATACCATCTTTATTCAGCAGAAACCGTCTCAGCCAATGAATGACCGGTAGATAAAGCATCTGCATTCAGAGCGCTCGCTATTGCGAACCATTCGCGAGTCGGAATAATAAAACAGGCCTTCGAATGTTGGAAACTTTATGTCGCCTCTCGCATTGAAGGTATGTTGCGGTATTCGATCACGGCTTGTGGTTAAAGGAATAACGACCCGAAAGGTCTCGACAACGAATAGTAGTGCGGCAAATTTATCAAGACATTATTGGAGGCTCGGCATGCAGGGAAAGCTCATCACGCCTATATAATGTTGGGTTTAGCGGCTGACGAAGAATGATAACTTGCTCGTGAAACAAGGTATATATATACTGGAACAAAGCGACCCAGGTGATGCTACACGACTAGCAATGTATCTCTGCGATATATATTTCTGAACAATAATTCCAACACATGATCGTTTGATACATGTGGAGTGCCATATCATGTACACACCTGTTAAGCGCTAGTCAGAAAAAATATGGTCAGTGAAGTGGTCATTCGTGAACAGTACCCGTCCTGCCATATTTAACCGGAGTGCAGAGTGTGCAGTGCGACATGTTCAAGAATGAGCTAGTTTCAGCAGTGGAATAAGCGCTTATACAATAGATACAAGACCGAAATGGGGATCCAACATGGCGGACATTTCGTTAACCAAAAGAATCTATACCATGGACGTTATAAAAGAGAATCGCGTTGCGCTGAATTGACTGGCGCCAGGTACCAAAACTATATGGTCGAAATTTCCAGAGCCGTCCACTACGACATTCCTCATAATTATATAGTGGTTGTGGGATGTAAGACCCCGAAATATTATTACGTTCCAAAACTGCGATCAGATGATGAGGCACGCAATGGAGAACTTGGGGTCAATTTCGACAATCTGCGTGTGTTCAAAGTGTGTTTAAATTTTTATATGTTAGCGGGTTGTGGCGTGTCGCCTTCGATCAAGTGCGGAAGTCGTGGCTACATAGGATCGAACCCGAAGGTTCGAGGTCCGCAGCGTCGTGACGAAACAGCGTCTCGGCTACCGTTCTTTGTCTCTCTGTTGTACTTTACACTAGTACGTGACACTTTTATTGTGGTATTTGCGAGCACCAGAAATGAGTGTTTTACGAACTTAAATGGCGTGTAGAGTAAGAAAAAACAGTTCTTGTAATGACATTTTGTTCACAATATTGCAACTCATATTGTAACCTCATATTCTCCATCGGAGCATATTCACACCTTTGTCAGCACTTATCGATATCCCACTCAAAGAGGCCTTACCCCCAAGTTCTTTTTTACTGATTGTTCGACTAGACTGCACCACTTATTTTACCTCAGCGATATGAATTGACGTCAGTATGGACGCTAAATTCTTCAGTGCACAATTGCGTTCACGTTCAACATCCAAGTGGTTCTATTACCTGGGAGGGCATTTCGCACTGCGTTCCGCCGATATTGCAGCCCGCAGTGACGCACGTAAATGTGATAACGAAAGAAATGAACGAACTGAACGAAATTAAGAAACTGTCCTCACAATAGACGTGTACGGTGAACGGGACGGCGACAGTGCGGGACACGCCTCCGAGAGCGCACAGTCGCTGGTTACACGCCCCCATTTAAGGTCAACACGCGTTGAGCATGTGCACACTTCAGCTGGATAGCGTCTCTCATTTCAGGCACCGATAGCTTCTCACTCTCAAGTTCCGAAGACTTACCCTCCCTTAGCTTCCCTCTACGGATGACCCGAGAAGCATTTCGTGGTTTTCGGTGGCACGCCGACGTCTCCGTAATCTCGAGCCGTCTGTGGAAGCCGGGCGATAGCGCCACAGTTTTCTCTCGAATGCAAAGACAAAAGGTTGAGATGCACCGCTATCAGACGCTTCGTTTGCCTTTCCTCGAGAGGACTGCTCTTACCACTTTTGCTCGTGCTCAGTGAGCTTCGCTGCAGCCCTAGTCCACATTTTCGCAAAGCTGGAGAGGTGCGTATGTACGAAAGAACAACTAAAAAACGAAAGAAAAGAAGGATAAGCCGTGTAAACTCGTCTTTCACTTACGACACGCGTCGCCTCAGCTCCGTAAGCAGGAGCCGTATCGATGCCATTTTCAGGAAGGCCGTCCGACAATGGGACGTTGAAAGTTTTAACGTTAGAGCACGACGTCCCACATAAGCGATGGTTCCCTCTCGTGATGTGCTCAGATTTTAGAGTACCTCCAATGAAAGTACCATCGCTGCTTTCATCAAATTCGCTCAAGTGGGGCTCTCAAATCAGCCCCGGCAGGGGCACAGCCCAAACTTTCGTACCCCTTACCGCCACTCATCAATAACAAACATAATCAATATACAGCTCGTAAATTCAATTACCCGCTCCTCTGTACCCTCACAAGGAGCTCGCTTGTCATAGCTGACCCCCCCCCCCCCCCCCCTTCTTGTAACACACACGCACGCACACACACACACACGCACACACACACACACACACACACACACACACACACACACACACACACACACACACACACACACACACACACACACACACACACACACACACACACACACTCTGACCTCATCTCCGCGTACCTCAGAGCACTGGCGATTTGATTCCCAATACGCAGGGGAAGCGAAAAGCTGCAGCTGTAGCGTGGAAGTTCACGTGGACGGCGGCGTTCAGGGGCAATACAGCCCGAAATCTTGTACGCAAAAGTAGGGAGGCTATAAGGATCTATAGCGAAATAGTCAATCTGCAACTCACCCCTACTCCTGCGTCGAGTTAACTGCAAGTTACTCGGCAAGTGTGTCAGTGCATGGATGGGATGAAGCTGTGGGGCTTAAATCAACGGCTAGTGTGAGGAAGACTGCATGCACACAAAGGTGGAAAACGGGTGGAGCATAAATTTCGCGAGGGGTACACCCATCCAGACCATATATAGGGGAGCGGCAATTTTCCTTGTTACCTTTACTCAGTCGCACCTCTTCCGCAATTCTAGAGAGTTGAGTGTTACGGCCGTGCATGTTTTCTACGATAATAGCGGCCGAGGTTCTGCGCTGTTTAATTGGCTAGAAACGTTTTCTCCCAGAGATAAATTACCGACCGTTATCACAAGCACGTCATCGCTTCATTTTATTTCTTGCATCTATTGTGACGCTTATTCTTTATGGATCCGACATCATGACAGCAGAATGTCGCAGCGGTAAAGCTTGTCTCCTCTTAATGCAAGACCCAGCGCACGCCTGTGATTAAGACCGCATATTCGGCCTCGTCGAGTATACTTTACTACGGTTACGAGCAAATGGTGAAGCGAGAATTCGGCCCATGTGAGTTCGTAGCCATTTCACGTTTCAGTAATGTTCTAAGTATAAGAACGTAAACGCAAGAACGTTAGAAGATGTGCTTCTCGCCAAAAGCAACCGTGACAACACACCGCACAAACGTTTTTCAACCTGCATTAAAGATGAACATAACGTACCGAAGTTTGTTCTAGATAAAAAACTAGTATGACGATCGAAAAAATACACTTGCCTGTACCTTTCAACATAATTTTTTTTTTCATTGTGTGTGA